CGCATAACTAAATCTCGGCTCCATTATGACACTGACAGGGTGTCATTTGGCTTGCCAGAAACGCAGGAAAAGTCAAGGTTTGGAGCTATTTTCTAGTCGGTTCAGAAAGTGACGTTTGGCAGTCTGGGATACGGGCCGCGGGCCCAATCCGTCCTTCACTGCCATGGTGTTTTAGCCCTGCGACACGGTCCTTGGACTCCAGCTTGGCCCGAAGCGGTGCAGAACGAAAGCCGGCTCCAGGAGGACACGAGCAGGGTGGCAGTTGGCAGTGCAGAAACGCAGGAAAAGTCAAGGTTTGGAATGGTTTGGAGCTAGTTTCTAGTCGGTTCAGAAAGTGACGTTTGGCAGTCTGGGATACGGGCCGCCGACACAATCCGTCCTTCACTGCCATGGTGTTTTTTAGCCCTGCGACACGGTCCTTGGACTCCAGCTTAGACCGAAGCGGTGCAGAACGAAAGCCGGCTCCAGGACGACACGAGCAGGGTGGCAGTTGGCAGTGCAGAAACGCAGGAAAAGTCAAGGTTTGGAGCTAGTTTCTAGTCGGTTCAGAAAGTGACGTTTGCTCCAGGAGGACACGAGCAGGGTGGCAGTTGGCAGTGCAGAAACGCAGGAAAAGTCAAGGTTTGGAGCTAGTTTCTAGTCGGTTCAGAAAGTGACGTTTGGCAGTCTGGGATACGGGCCGCGGGCCCAATCCGTCCTTCAGTGCCATGGTGTTTTAGCCCTGCGACACGGTCCTTGGACTCCAGCGTGGACCGAAGCGGTGCAGAACGAAAGCCGGCTCCAGGAGGACACGAGCAGGGTGGCAGTTGGCAGTGCAGAAACGCAGGAAAAGTCAAGGTTTGGAGCTAGTTTCTAGTCGGTTCAGAAAGTAACGTTTGGCACTCTGGGCTACGGGCCGCAGAACGAAAGCCGGCTCCAGGAGGACACGAGCAGGGTGGCAGTTGGCAATGCAGAAACGCAGGAAAAGTCAAGGTTTGGAGCTAGTTTCTAGTCGGTTCAGAATGTGACGTTTGGCAGTCTGGGCTCCAGGAGGACACGAGCAGGGTGGCAGTTGGCAGTGCAGAAACGCAGGAAAAGTCAAGGTTTGGAGCTAGTTTCTAGTCGGTTCAGAAAGTGACGTCTGGCAGTCTGGGATACGGGCCGCGGGCCTAATCCGTCCTTCACTGCCATGGTGTTTTAGCCCTGCGACACGGTCCTTGGACTCCAGCTTGGACCGAAGCGGTGCAGAACGAAAGCCGGCTCCAGGACGACACGAGCAGGGTGGCAGTTGGCAGTGCAGAAACGCATGTAAAGTCAAGGTTTGGAGCCGCAGAACGAAAGCCGGCTCCAGGAGGACACGAGCAGGGTGGCAGTTGGCAGTGCAGAAACGCAGGAAAAGTCAAGGTTTGGAGCTAGTTTCTAGTCGGTTCAGAAAGTGACGTTTGGCAGTCTGGATACGGGCCGCGGGCCCAATCCGTCCTTCACTGCCATGGTGTTTTAGCCCTGCGACACGGTCCTTGGACTCCAGCTTGGACCGAAGCGGTGCAGAACGAAAGCCGGCCCCAGGAGGACACGAGCAGGGTGGCAGTTGGCAGTGCAGAAACGCAGGAAAAGTCAAGGTTTGGAGCTAGTTCCTAGTCGGTTCAGATCCGTCCTTCACTGCCACGGTCCTTGGACTCCAGCTTGGACCGAAGCGGTGCAGAACGAAAGCCGGCTCCAGGAGGACACGAGCAGGGTGGCAGTTGGCAGTGCAGAAACGCAGGAAAAGTCAAGGTTTGGTCTGGGATACGGGCCGCGGGCCCAATCCGTCCTTCACTGCCATGGTGTTTTAGCCCTGCGACACGGTCCTTGGACTCCAGCTTGGACCGAAGCGGTGCAGAACGAAAGCCGGCTCCAGGAGGACACGAGCAGGGTGGCAGTTGGCAGTGCAGAAACGCAGGAAAAGTCAAGGTTTGGAGCTAGTTTCTAGTCGGTTCAGAAAGTGACGTTTGCCAGTCTGGGATACGGGCCGCGGGCCCAATCCGTCCTTCACTGCCATGGTGTTTTAGCCCTGCGACACGGTCCTTGGACTCCAGCTTGGACCGAAGCGGCGCAGAACGAAAGCCGGCTCCAGGAGGACACGAGCAGGGTGGCAGTTGGCAGTGCAGTGTCGTCTCGGGTCTCTTTAGGATGCCATTTAAAGTTTCATACTGCGGTTACGAACGGGGGCTTCGGGTATGGGTCTTAAGTGCTAGAGCAACCCTTTAGGTCCCCAAGACACCTGCCCAATGACGAAAGCTCCTATTTCTTGAGCCATGAAAAAGTGTCAGAACACATAGTTGTGCGTGTCATCCTGCAGGGGTCCATGCTGCTTGCATGTGCACAGTGCCAAACGCACATACAAATGGTTTGTTTAGGTCAGTTTCTGGTTTCTTTAGGGTTCATTTCATGCTTACGACACAGAGGCAGGCATGACCCTCCAGTGTCCAGGGGTCGGCGGCAGAGGGCGTAGCCCTTTAATAACAATTACATACAATTACTATATCTACCACATTCTACCACGTTGAGCCATTTCAGCACCCTGTCCAGCACTTACTGTTGCTAAGGACTTCGAGGAGAAAACGGGTCTACGTCCAACGAAGAAACAAGAAATGCAAGAATCGAAAGACAGAATCACATATCCAACTGGACAAGACAGAATTTCCAAGAGCATCTTTGCTCAATGACAGCTGATCAGAGCTCCAGCATATGGCGAGGTGCTATTCCTGATTTCCTACATCCTGAAGTATCAAAAATCCTTGGCAGCAGGAAAACATCGACAGACACTTATTGCATGTCCCTTAAAAGGAATTGCACCGCAAACTGAATGAGTGCATCTGAAGTTTAATAGATGGATGTAGATGCAGTGAAGTTAATGAATGAGGCGTCTGCCAGGCATCTGAGCTCATGTGCAAGAGCCAAACAGCTCTTCCAGGTTTAGCTCTTCGCTATCCGACAAAACCTCAGAAAATGTCACTTTGCCTTCCGGCTGGATGATCCTGCATTCACTCTCAGCAAACCAGATGCCAACACGCAATCCAATTCTGTCTTAGAAACTTCTCGGGCAGAATCTGAAGAATCCAGTAAATGGAGACCCTCAATGCCACACCGATCGCGCAAAAGGTGCTGCACAAATGCAACGCAGCGGTGAAGGTCGTGAAGGTGCGCAAACCTCGTGGCTTGGTTCTACCAATGGGGTATAGCACCAATTATGGCTATTTCATATGGAAAATGATCAACTATTGGACTATTGGATAATGATTCAGCATTGTCACGATCTACCGGAATCCACGGCATGGTACAACTCACTAGTGACCACATCATACAAAATCCTTGGAAATTTCTGGTGACTCTGCACTGCTGTCGCCAAATCAACCATATCACCGTCTTGCTGGTAAGTTCTGTGGCAACCCCATTCATCCACTGAGGGTGATATTTTCACCCGTTCGAAGAAAATTCTTTGAAACTTTGAAATATTCAAATCGTGCTTGTGACCTTCCACATCACGGAGCAACCCAAAAGCTGCAGTGGTTTTCGCGGAATTGTACGACCTGTTTCCAAAAACTACCAAAATGTACTCAGCAAGTCGGTCATACGAGTCACGTTCCACTGCAATTCCAAGTTTCGAGCTTTTTTTGAACACCAACGAAGCAGATTCAAAGACTGGAATCTTCAGCCACTTTCGATTATTTCACAACATCTGGAATACACACACGCACACATGTTGGCATCTTCCCAAGGAGCCTTGCACCTGGCGATTCACCGAATTTCATGGCTGCAATATGCTGCAATTGGGCCAGTGACAGGTGCAAACTGTGTTGCTGTTGGCTGGTGCTCAATGGCCACTGGTTGGGACAGTGGGTATCAAGGATTATCAAGGCGGATGGATTCAGCTGCAGAAACTGATAGTTGGGCACGCTTGTAATGACACCCAGCAAATGCCGTTTTGCTGCTTCAAAATAAAGGATCAGACGCCTGCAGACATGAAACATCCACATGATATGATTTGTCTTCCAAAGGTTGAAAACACAATGTGCAGTGGCGCAAGGGTTTGGAAAACAGGGCAACATTTGCGATCTTTCTTGCATTCAAGTCGGTTTGCATCAGTCTTTCGGTTTGCATTGTTCTCGTTTTTATATGTGTTTGTTACCTGGGCGAGTCAATCGCAGGTCGGGTTCTAGGCGCGTCAATCTTTTGGTCGGACGTGGCCAAAGTCTGAGTGAAACTTCATGTGATTCCACATGCACTTCTGGGGTGCGACTAATATACAGGAAACTCGTCGCAATAGCGACCCTAGTGGTGTCAATGGGCTGGAAACCTGGAACCCTGGAACCCTGGGTGAACAGCACTAGCCCGGCTCAGAACGGACAATACTGCTGGCTCCTTGAGCAGATTGTGCAAAAATGTGCAAAATCTATCACAATTCTGCACAGTTCATGAAGGATCCGCGAGTTTGTCAGAGGCGTTCCCTTGGGCTCGCACGTTTCTCGATGTCGTCTGACGGAGCTCGCACGAGTTTCGGATCACTTCGAGCCTTGAACACTCCAAGATCGCTTGGAAAATCATGGAACATCCTTGGGTGACGAAATATATCGAAATATCACTTGTTGAACCACTGCATTCGTTTTCATACCTTAAACTGGATTCCAAGAAAGCAACTTCAGAAGGGCCATCGTCTTTCCGGGTGCTGACCTGTGACTGTGACCAGCGAACACTTTCGTGCAAATAAAATCAAACACGTAGTACGACAGCCACCAAAAAGTGCCCAAAAACAACAGTGCAAATCAATCGAGCCCTGTCAGTTGAAGCGATGTGCCCACCAATTCTGAAGAATACTTTGCGGCTTTCCTGTACAGTCCACTGTGTTCTCCTCACAGTCATTTGTACGAGGCTCCAACTTTTTCCTTTTTGCGAGGTACCCTGGGCAAATCGTTAGAACAAATCCATTGTGGCCCTGTAGTAGCACAGTGGTTTTGATATGTTTTGATATCTGCTAGCAGTATATTTGTGATCATTTGTGTTCATTGGATCACATAAGCGCGGTGCGAGCTATCCTGTCTGTCACTCTTTGGAACCTTCTTGTGGATAGTGTACCTGGCTGCAGCCATCATCCCAGTGAAGCGGCTTCAACAGGCTGTGCAACAGGCTGTGCCGGGAGTGTCGCACCCGCGCTGCAAGCCCAAGACTGTGCCATCAGCAAAGTCCAGGTCATCGATGTCCAAAAAGTCCATGCCCTGGGCGGAAGCATTGACTCAGATCACACTTGGAGCCAACGAAATCAGTGAATGCAACTTCTAGAAGTATTATGAATGATTCGAATGATGTTAATAGCTGTGAAGAGGCGTCCCCGGTTTGGTTGGTTCACATTGGTTCACATTGGTTCACCGTTAAATTCAATGATTTGATGAAGCCCATCTGCAAACACTGCTCCCAGGCAGCCACTCTCCCAAGCCTGAAGCGAAGATGCTCTTCCCAAGTTAATGGAGGATATCAGAAAAGCTGCAATCAAAGTGCCTGAACGCATGGCTACATTGCCTACCGATGGCTACCGGATACAAAGGGATTCGATGACTCAAAAATGATGTCCCCAACGTTGCAATCGTCGTCGAACACTGTTTGCTCAAGTTTTGAATTCCTTGTTGAATCACCATCCTGAGTATAAGGCGCAGCATCGCAACAAACCTGACCCCAAACAGCATCTTTGCACCGGCAAGTCTGTACAAAGGCTGGATTGACTTTCCTATCCAACTTGAGTGCGAAGGGGGAACAAAAAAGAAGGGGTAGGTGAAATTGGATTTCCTATCAACTTTCCTATCCAAAGCAAGGGGAAGGTTGAACTACGGAAAACATAGAAAAGCATAGCAGCCATAACAGAAAGCAAGGTGAAGCGAGAGCGAGATGCGAAGGGCATATGGACAGAGGGATGCAAAGAGAGGTGGAGTTAGTGAGACATAGTGGGTTGGGAGGAGTGGGTTGGATGGAATGAGTCGGGCAAAGCGAGTTCTCACAATAGGTTACATTGTTAGCTACACTGTACACACAATATACACCATGAATTAAAAATAAGGTGTTTGTTGCGGCAAGTCCCAGGACGGGACCCATGAGGGCAGGTGGGTGAGGGATTCGTTTGGCAATTGCTACTCCCCCCACCACAATCCCTTCGTAAAGCAAGAAGAAACCCCAGCTGGCTACAGCTAGCGTTCATGGCGGACGAGTCAGAAATCTTCAAAACTGGTTCTCCTCTGCCGTTCTGCCAACTCAATTCCCTGGGAAACAAGACCACTGTTCCAATCGGTTCCAATCTGTTCCTGTTCCGTCTCGGCTGCCAACCGCTGGATGCGGGAGAATGTCCTGCTTGTAGATGGCACCTCACGGAGCTCAAGAGCTGAGCCACCTGAAAGCCTCACAATTTTGGGGTTTCCGTTCCGTCTTTTTGGCGCTCTGAAAAGCACTTTACATAACGAGTCATAAGCGGTAATGCCAGACCTGTAAAACTCTGATTAATAACTCCCCAACTTTGAGAAGGCAAACCTCTTCCTTAAAATGGCCGGTTCAGACTCAGAGAAGAGGACGTAAATGCACCATCACCAGGAGCGCAAAAGACATTCGGAAAAAAATAATGAGTTACTTTTTGAAAATTCACGCCATAGTTTTCTTTCACAAGGCCCGTACCGCTTAAGCGGGCTGCAACATTCCAATCTATCAAGATTGGACTTTGAACCAAAAGACCGATCATTGATGTAAGCAAATAGGAGCACCATACTCCAGTGGAAAAAACAAAAACAAACCACAATAGGATTTCATTGAACCTGGTGTCTATGCAAGCTCGTCCAGCTCCCTCCATTTTTAAAACTCCTCGCTTCGCGATGGCGTTGGAAACTGAGCTGTATCATTGTCACCGGAGATTCTGATTGAATCTGTCCAAGCATGAAGACTTTTCTGGTTAAGAATGCTACTGCTGTTTTAGCCAAAGAATCGTTCTCTGAAAAGGTAGAGATCCTTGGTCCATCACTGTAGATGCAGGATTAATGCCTTCACCAACAAGATATCAAGCTTGGCAACACATTTTGGCCCGTTGATACTGGTTGGCCTTTCCTGTACAACACAGGCCAGTCGCAGTTCACTTTAGGTTGCGTTCTCCTTGGCCGTCGATTCTGTTTCTGAGGTCGATTTGTCGTGTATGTCTATATATACATATATATATATATGTGTGTGTGTATACTGATTTTTTTTACATGTATATATATATATATACACATATAAACACATATATTTACATATATACACATATAAATACATGTGTATATACATATATATATATTGCAGAGTCCCTGCAAAGGTAGCACCTTCTCAAAGAAATTCCCAGTGCCCTCCGGAGCACGCAACAGCGCCTTTTATGGCTGCAAACGCTCGAATGATCCGCGACGGCCACGTCGCCTCTAAAGCCCTCAAGCGGCCTCCCTGAGCCAAGTTTCCACTGCACGTCAGGTGACTCCCTGCCAATGGATGCAAGATGACAACTCGTTATCGGAACCCTAAGCACCATGGTATGCACAAGACCAAGGAAAGTTGGATGGGAAAACACACTCCTAAAAATTCTTTTCTTTTTTAAAGCTTTTGGCTTTTTCATTGATTTTGTCTCAAGGCTTGAAAGTGTATTTTGAGCACCTTAGGTTCAATCCCAAGTTGTCCATTGGACCATCAATTTCCCTGGACGTACAGACATATGAATTAGGCACATGGGCTTCGGAAATCTCACCTGAAAGAGCACTTCGGAACGCATCAGGCTACGGACAAAACTGCCAGTGCAAAAGCATGCAACGTGGATTTCTCGGAACAGGTCTGCTCATACCACTGATGGCGGATCTTCTTGTCAGCACGTTGTTTCAAAATTTCCTCAGCATCGTGCAACACGCAACGGCCATGTTTCAGAAATGTCCTAAGAACGGAAGTGTCCATGTCTTTCGTGAGTGAATCGGCCATCTGTGCCGCTGAGTGAACCCACTTTACAATGACACCTTCTTGAAGACGTTCCCTTATGACCAAAGCTTCCAGTGTGGTACGGTGTTCTGAGCACTGAGGTATAGAGGTCTTTTGGAGTAGATCATACAAACTCTTACAGTCCACAACTGAAAAGGCTGATGGCAATTTCTTAAGAGTTGTTTCAGGAGTTTTCCATGGTATGGAAGGGTCTAGGATCCAGGCCCAATGGATTCGGGTCCAACTCAACAGGTCAAGGGCTCCCGAGAGAGCGAACGTTTCCGACGCTAGAGTGCTCGAGACTACACGGTTGATCTTTTTGGAAAACCACAGCAACGGGCTAACAGGGGCTGATCGAGCTTCGTTAACCTCATCTGTAGTGGCCATGATTAGGCAACCCTTTTGAGAATGAGCCTTTTCCCTCGTTGCGAAGGCAGCATCGGAGAATGACAAAAATCGGACCTTACTGGGTTCCAAGGCTTGAATCCTTATTGAGGTGTCAGAGTTTCTTTTGGCATCCATCAGCAATCGATTGCCATGGAGGAGGTCAGCTACTCTGGCACAGGTGATCCTTGCTTGGAGTAGACTCAGTCTGCAGGAAAGATCGGGTCGAGTATTGGACGCAGCATATTGTAAGCTTCCAATGAGCCCCCTAAGGTCTTGTAACTCTTGGTGAGTCACTTGGGAATCCAACTGCTGTCTACGTTCACGGGCAACATTGATAGGGGGTATGTCGTTGATATATTCCTTTTGGTTCAAGTTGATATCCCCATTATGATCCTGAACTAGATTAATACCAGTGAAAGTAAACGACCCTTGGCGTTGGCTTCCAAAAGGGAACCGTTTCTCCAGCATCTTGATCGCATGATTGAAAACTTGATCACCGCCCCCTAGGCCATCGTCCACGTGGACTCCTAGAACGCCATGGATTTTTGGTTCCTCTGGAGATGAGATACTTTTTTTGGGTAACACAAATAGACATGGGTCCATGGGGGATATGGTGAAACCCAGTCCTAGTAGTGCGTTTTTCAATTCACAATACCAAAGTAATGGTGCATTTACCAACCCATATGCTCCTTTGAGCAATTCACAGACTTCGTCATCCCGCAAGTTCATTTTCAAGCGCAACTCTTGTGGGGGTTCTACGCCTAAAATTCTGGTGTCTTGGCGGCTACCTCTGAGGAATGCCGTACGGATGTCGAAGGATCTCACACCCCAGCGATGGCTAGCAATGCATTGAAGTGCAAGCATACGTGAATCTTTCCCCAATGTTGGTGAATCCCTTGGTAGTGAATCAATCATTGGATCCTCAAACCCCAAAATAACCAATCGGGCCTTGGGTTTTCTACTCATACCCGTTTCTTTCTGTTCGACTGCATCCAAAGTTTTCCAAGTTAGGACCCAACGGGAACGTAACAGCTGACCCTCAGGCACCTGATTTCGAAGAATCCTACGGACCGTATCGGTGGATAACCATGAATCAATTTCTTTGGACTTGGCCTTTTTGAAAAGTTCTAGTTCATCAGGAGAAAGGTCTCGCAGCTTTACTTCTACTTTCTGTCGCTTGGCGGCCGATGCCAGGAAGGCTTCTTGACCCTCATAGGAGCGTCCCAAGCATTTTTGCATCTCGTCCATGGTGAGAATTATTTCATACTGGTTCACTGTGGGAGGATTATGTTGAATATTATAGGTTTCTGACACATGATGGGGATTTATTGAAGTTGATGGATTTCGTTGAAGGAAAAAGGTGGTAGTTCCTGTCCATGGCTCAGGTGTTGGTTGATGAGCGGCCACATCGTTTCTCCAAGTCTCTTTTCGTTCGAAAGTACTTCCAGATAGGAATTGACCCTTGGTATGACGGTTGTCATCAAGCTCTGCGACTTCAAAGGGTACTTCCCAGATATCATTTGGAAAAAACATGTGGATCCTTGGGACTCGATGATGTCGAATGATACACTGATCTCGGAATTCCCAATAGTCATGATCATTCTGGTTGAATAGGCAATCTTCATCTTCATTTTCGTTGGGTACAGGGACCTCTACGGGACCATTAAAGTCAATGGGACCTCCGGATGAGACAGGGATATTCGAAATCTCATTGCTGCTGGGTTCGGCATCAGGTTGACCTACACTGGGTGTGGGTTGTCGGGTCATTGCATTACCTGCAGGACTACTTGGAGGATTATCTTGAACAATGATGGTCTCAGCATTATCCCTATTGCCCTGTTGGATGTTGGGGGTTATGTCCGTTGGTGGACTGCTTTGTCGGGACAGCTCTCGGAACTGAAAGACACCAGTGCCGCTTCGGTTGGGAAGGCTGAACATTTGTCTGTCATCTGGAGTGAGTGACTTCGTCTCATCTTCAGACAGAGCCCTGACATGTTCAGGGGCACATCGATATAGGCGTGTCATGTGACTCAACCAAACCAGATTCTGGCTCTCGATCATCAGTACTTTGGCAGGACCTCTCCATCTACCTTCATCAACTCCTTTACCTTCTCTCCAGTACATCACAAGATCCCCTATTGAGAAACTGGTTCGATCAGGTCGTGATCGTGCATGTAGTGCCTTGCGTAAGGAGGCACTGTGGTCCGCCCGCACAAACGCAAGTCGGGCAGTCTCCCTTCTGGCAAGTTGGGCATGGAACTTTTCGCCCTCTGTGGACGTCTCATCAAGGCCGGCGAAGCTGGCACTATCTACTGGGGCTGAGATATTGTTTCCAGGCAAAGGCTTCATTTTTCCCAAAACCCATAACTCGGGAGAGTATCCAGCATGACGGGACATCGAATTCTTGGCATTACACAAATGGACCAAACATTGTTCGAAGTCTTCATGGTTCTTGATGGGATTGTCTCCGTGATAAAGGTCTATCATGTGTTTCAGAATTGCCCCGTGCCGCTCGGCACGACCAAGTTGCCAGTGTGCCTCAGCTGGGATCACGTAGCACTGGATGGCCTGCTGTTGGAGGTATCGAGAGAACTCTTCGCTGTTTGCTTCCGTAGCACTGTCAAACATGAGCTTTTTTGGTGGTCCCGCCCATCTAATCCAAGCTGTGTTAAAGGAATGTATTAATGATTCGGTGGTTCTTTGTTGATAGGATATGGCAGTGTGAAAGTTGGTGGCTGAGTCAATGAAATGAAAAAATGAGTATGTCTTTCCAGCTGGATCAGTCCATTCGGCACCATCAAACGAGACCAGGTCATTGAAATCTCGAGGCTCATGCAGGTGTCCTGGTCGAGAGACTTTCGGTTGTTTCTTCTCGAAACAAGCAGGGCACACAAAATCAGCGCAGCCACTGACATCATTGTCATTCCATCCATAGCGTTTCAAGGCCAGTTGTAGAACCCTGTTATCTGGGTGTCCAAGGTTCTGGTGAATCTTGCGGATCTGATTTTGGGTTTCCCGGTCTAAGGCTAGGAATTTGGGTCCATGTGAATGACATTTAAGGTTACTCTGGGATGTGGATATGTCCTCTTGGGTCTGTTGATTTGATGAAGTGGAATCGGAGTTATCTTCTTGAGGTACAGGTTCTTCCCTCATCTGATCAGCAAAGCGAACTTTCTTGACAACAGGAAGGTTCTCTGATTCATCGGTGTGTGTCTGGCTGACACGCTTGTTGGATGCAAAGATCGTGATCAAAATCTTGGAAGGTGTTCCAGCTCGGATTTGTTGTCGGTGTGACAACACTTCCCACTGCTCCCACTCTTCGTCTGCAAA